CCAGAAAACAAACATTTTATTTAAGTTTATAATTATAAAATTAAATCATCCTTATAGTCACTAGCAAATTGTTAGGAATTTACAGTCGTATAATATTTGACTATCAACGAAAACACAAAAATTACAATGTGAAAATTACTTAACAATGGAGTAATCATATAAAATATTATTTGTATAATCATACACTCGTAAATACACGATTTAGAAAAACAATTTATTCAATGACTATAAAGCATTTTAATACCAATAAAAATGCTACTTTTAAAACACTAGTACTAGTAATAAGCATTATCCTTAATAACAAGATTACAATAAGTATTAGGATTTTATTAAATGAAACAAAGTGTATTTCTAAAGTAAATGAGATATACTAACTTTTAAAAAATTATCCTTGACATAATCCTTAAAAACACAATAACAAAAGAAAAGTAACAGATACAAGGCAGAGGGAGAGATAGAGAGAGCAGAAAGTAGAAGTGAAGCGACAGAAGAGCGTAAGAATTGAAATGTCAATTCAAAAGGAAAAATTCATTTCTATTGAAATTGATTTTAACGTATACGTACTCGTTTATACATAAAAATATAGGGACCTACTTATCAATTTCATTTTATTTGGATCAATTTCTTTTTTAAGGATATTATTACAATATAGGATATTTAAAGATGTAAGAACATTCTGGTATAAAGAAGCAAATAAATAGAAATAAGTATATTTTGTATAAAAATAATAAAAGGAACTCGTTTCTGTTATACTGCACAGCATTCAACTTACTTATATATTTTATGATAAATGTATTAAAATTTTTCTTAGTATTCTATTGAGATTTTTAGGCTTTTATATGAGTATATAAAATTTATAGATTTACAATAAAAATAACAAAATGTAATTGTAATTTATTACCAATTATCAATAAAAACAAATAAAAACAGATAATATTTTAGTAAAGATTAAGAAGGGTTCAACACAATTGAGAAAATAAATTCATATTAAGCCTATTATGAAAAAAATTTTAAATAAAATATTTATAAAATATTTCAAGGTTTCGTTTAATTTATTGTTATCAATAGCATATTAGAGAGTTAAGTATAATATCATCTTATTGCGAGTTTTTATTATATCTGGTCATAATATTTTCATAGATAATATGATTATTATGAAGAGTATGCTGCATTAATTCAAATTGTAATAAAAATATAAATAGGTATATTAGATTTTCAGAAAAAAAAATTTTTAAGTAAATTTCGACTTTTTAAAGCTTGAATGTGCGGTGTGAACAAAGCAAATATGTAGAGGCTAGATGCAAAAGTGTGCCTATACTATTTAAAAACAAATTGAGATCGATTCAACAAGCTCATTATACATGCTCTTTATTTCCTTTTATATATGAAGACTGTAATGTTGTTACAAACCTTTGAAATATTATAATGTAAGCTCATTTTAAATTCAAAATTTGCCTATTCCAAAATAATAAATTGTAATTCGAAAAAATAACAAAGCCAGAATCATGAAACTTTGCAGTCTAATGCCCAATTACAGGTCAAATATATGCCTGAAGTTTTTGTTGAATGGTTTGGCAAGTTTGGGTAGCTGCCATATAACAACAACGAAAGTTAATTCGAACTATTTCAGAAACAAATTTTTAAACTCAGATTGTAAAGGTGCAGGGTATAATTCAGTCGGTTTATTCTTGTGTTGGCAAACCAAATTTTTAGGTAAATTGTGTGTTAAAAACTTGTGCGAATATTAATAGAATAATCTGGTTATTTAAACTTGTATACAAATCACACAAGACAAGTCCGCAGCCAAATTATTTTTAGATTTGTTAATTCTACTTTAATCGCTTTTCTCTTGGAATTCTATTGATATGTTCGTATACCGATGTCTTTTTCTGAATCAGTCGATTTATTTGATCTGTTAAAATGCAGAGGTCTTTTATTTTCTAAATTTTCATTATTGTCACACCCGCTTTTTTGTTTTGTTATTATATAGGTAATACTCAACTCAACATTGATGTCGTGACACACTCACTTCATTTAATCTTTAAGCTGGTTATTTTAACTGTAATACTCGTAAATTTGCGATGTGCTTCATTTATCCGTTATAATTTATTCTGTTAAATTTATCACAAGTTCTTGCTTCGTTAAACTTTTACTAAAAAATCTCTATATTTGAAATTAAATTTGCGGTCTGAAACCTGATAATACATTAATAAAATTTTGCTGCATACAAAAGTTGTTCCATGAACCATTTCTGGCGCTTTTTTCTCAGGTACAATTTTATTATTTTTTCTATTTTTAGTTTTACTTTTCATACTTTCCTGCATGACGACTGAACGACACAATGTTTTTCCACGGATTTTCAATTTCTAAAGCGAAATTGACTAACTTATAGTTTTGGAAGTACAACGTTTTTATACAAAAAAATATTAAGAAAGCGAAAATTGAAGGTCACAACGTTATTCGAGCCGCACATTTAATTGTATAGCAGTGTTAAAATAAGTGGAATTTTTTTATTATTAAATTTAATAATTATTCACTTATTCGGTGATTCTTGATAATGAAACCAAATATTTTCATTGCAATGACGTAAATGTTTGATCTATCAGATGAAGAATCAACGTACTTTTCTTAAATAAATGTTCTTTAGTTCCTGAAGGGTAGTTATACAATTTGAAGCATATTCGTGTTTTGTATAATTTTAATTTTAGGTATATTCAATTTAATTAAAGTCAAAAATCATGAAATAAAATTAATAATTAATTAATTAATTAATATTTAATAAATATGACATGTGTTCAGTAATTTAAAAAATCAACACCTTTACACATAAAGGATTGTTGAATGCTTTGATTCTGTGAAAATTTTAATTAAATAATTTGATTTTCATATTTCGAATAAATTATATAATTATTTTTTATTTCATATTTCAATGAAAAATTTTACACAAATTAAGTTATTAAATAAAAAAATGAAAAAATATTAAAAAAATCTGTTTTTTAATTATTGAAGGTGTTCAACTATAACAGTCATTAAAGACGTGTGGATGTGTTTGTAATTATGAAGTATTGATTTATATTAGACCATTGAAATTTTTTTAAATTTAAAATGCATGTAAATAAATATTACAGGGTCGGAATAAAAATTTTTCAGCTTATACATACGTTCTATTTCCCTATACGTTTGTTGTGGCACCTATTTGCATATATAGAGTGCCTGGTCGTGTATCTTGCTATTTTACTCGCCAAGTGAGAAGAATGTGAACCACTGTCATTATTATATGTATAAATGTAACTTTTAAGTGAGAAGAATTATTGTGTATTTCGTTTTTTTCTAAAATGCATGCAAAATTTATTTACTTTGTTATTGAATGTGAGAAGTTCAGTCGATAATGCAAACCGAAGGTAATAAGTTCATACTATGCAAATCAAACTAAATTGATTAATTGTTTGTTAAACATGTAGTTCATTTATTTGTCGTTAAAAAACATTAAATTAACAACTAACAATGAATATGCACAAGTGATGCACATTTGTGGATCAGTTCCTTTTGTGATATTTTAGAACATTATATGTTTTTCTTTCATTTAGTTTTAAGAGCATAGAAGATTGTTGCAATTGAATGATTTTCAATAAAATATTTTCCAATTTTTTTTCTTTAATAAATTGTTTAAGCGCTTTGTGATATCAAAGGTCATTGCGGTCGAATGAATCATTTGTTTTTTGTTTATTTATATCAAATAAAAATTGATAATTTACTTTCTAGTTCAGTGAATTTTGAAAGCTTTATAACAATATATAAGCCTTTTGACTCATGTATTAATTACGGTAATGATGGTAATACAAAATTTGCCTATACATGACGATAAAATATGCAAGGTAATTTTTATAAATAGAAACCGTTGTATATATAAGTGAATTAAGCAATCAAGCACTTTTCATCTTTATTTTAATAATTTAGAAATTAATAGACTTTCCCAAAATATGGTATACTTGATTTCCATGCAAAATGTTGCTTAAAACTATCAACTCGGAAATTTCAAAAATAATTTTTTTTGAAATTTTGAAACAAACTTAATCAAAAAAAAACAAACTGCTCACAAACATTTTAAAAAAATTCATAAATTTACTACATAAATTTTAAAATTAATAATTGTGTTTACAAGAATAACTTCATTTTAGACCTCAGGTTGTAGAAGTCTCAAATTTTAGAAGCATTCAGATACATTGTTAAAATTTAATAAATAGTTCATTTCGTTAGAAGAAAATTTTTTCCCACCTCCACCCCCTCGCAAGTTATCGCCTATTGAAATTTGTAAAATTTGAATTTTTGGCACCTTATAATTACGAAAATGCAAGCTTTTCCAAATTTTTATAAATGCAGAAATCACGCCATTAAAAAATGTAATTATTTTTCTTAACTCACTTAAATAACCCTTAAATGTTCGAGCATTATGTTAACGCTTTAAATTTTTTTTTTGTTTTATTTCAAAGATTGCATGCAGTGTTCAATCTAAAAGTATGCAATTTTTGAAATATATTCGTATGTGATTGAAAGTAATTTTAATAATGTAGTATGTAAATGGGTTGTTTTTAAACGCAGTATTTTCACTTGTTGAGAAAAAGAACTATACTACAAACCATTGGTTTGACTCAAATTTATTGTAGTTACCTTAATCCTATGTGTCACTTAAGAAACTCTTTTCTGAAGTCTTCCCTGATATTTCACCCATACTGGGAAAACAATTCCCTATTTTCATTTTTACAAATTTCTAAAATATAAACCTATATAATTAAATTCAATTAAAAAAAATTGTGTAATAAATTTATGTTAGTAATTAAAGAATAATATTTCATCCAAACTTGTTTTACATGAAACAAAATCATTTTGCTTTTGGTGATTGGTGAACAACATTCGTTTTCAACATATCAAATTCAAATCTAACACGCTAATTAGTCAATTCCCAAAATTTGACATTTTCAAAATTAAGATAGAGCTATAAAATGGAAGAGAATTTTGATGCAATTCAACCAACTCGTTCAATTAACATAGTATTGATGGCACTTGGTGTTTGGACATTTATTAATCGAAAATGGTTTTGGATTTATCGTTTATACACTTACATTTTACATTTGATAGCTTCATTATGTTTCGCTATCATGATGAATATTAATTTAGTGAGTGCTGATAATTTAAAAGATTTTCTTGAATCAATTTTCATGACATTTACATTGAACGCAATGATGGTGAAGATAATCAATGTGGTTTATTATGGAAGAAAAGTTGTTAAATTGATGGAAAATTTTCAAGATGAAAAATTTAAATTAGAAAATGATAAAGAATATAAAATAATAAAAGATAGCCATAAAAGATTTAATCTTTTTAAAAAATTTTATATATTTTTATGTTTGAGTGTGATTTCAACCAGTTACATTAATGGTTTTATATTACATAAGATGCCATATGTATCATGGTTTCCGTTTGATTGGCGTAAAAATGATACTTACTTTTATTATGCTTACATTTATGAAGTAATATCAATGACAATTAATTGTTTAACAAATTTAAATTTAGATTTATTTCAAACATACATTCTATTTCAAACCGGTCTCTATTATGAATTAATTATAATGAGATTAAAGAATATTGGTTATGAACGCGTTGGAATGAATGGTATTCTTATGAAGAATGAAGATGAAGAATTGGCAATGAAAAATTTAATTAAAACAATTAAATCTCATCAATTATTAACAAAGTAATTTATTGATAGCGGCCAAATAATTTTGTATTTGAAATATGGAATTTTTTGTTCTAGAATCTCGAAAGATGTTGAAACTATTGTATCAGCACCAGTTGCAGTACAAAATATATTGAGTGCTGCAGTTATATGCTTAACTGCTTATGAATTGGTTACAGTAAGTATGCAAGAAGTATGGTATACTAAGAAAGTTTACTAATGAATTTTATGTGGTATTTAAAGCATAAGTTTTCTTGTAAATTTGCGATATATAGAACAGGTAGTGACGATATAATTCTAAATATTTGAACAAGTAGTGTTCTTTCTAAATATTTTACATTTCCGATATTTTACATCACTTTGGAGCACAGATAACGGGTAAAAATTTTATTTAGTATTTGTGACATCTTAGAGCTTCAGAATTTTTTAAAAAATTTTCATATTGTTAATACAACGAACGACGCTTATGGTAAAAGAAATTTTCAATGAATCACACTGTATATTGTAATTTTTCTATGGATTCCATGCAAAAAAAGTCAAACAAAATTTAAAAGTTGATTAAAAATGTGTAAATTCAATTAAGTTAGGCAATATTTCAAGTAAATTTACCTCCATTATCCTCGATTCTTCTTCTCATTCCTCGTTAATTCATGTATAATTTTAATCAGTATTGCTTCCCTTAACAAACTCAAACGGAATAAAACTACAATAATGTCCATTAACTCAGAGCTTATGAATGATTTTATATTTTGATTATTTTTGAAATTTATAATTTTTAAAATATAAAATCATTTTGTACGTCAAATAGCAAAATAATAGTTTTATTGTCATTTAAATATCAAATACACAATTTTTTTAATTCAAATATAATTTATATTTGTAGGTTTCTTTGAAGGACAATACATTTGAATTTATATCATTGTTATATTTTTTGGTAACAATGGCATTTCAAATATTTTTACCATGCTTTTATGGTCATGTTATAACTGAAAGGAGTGAATTATTATGTGATGCTATTTATTCATCTAATTGGGTTGATGTATCAGTTAAAATGAAAAAATTCATTTTCATTTATATGGAAAGCTTAAAACGTCCAATTATTATAAAAGCTGGTTCAATTTTCAATGTTGATTTAAGTGTTTTTACAAAGGTATAGAATAATTTTTTGCCAAAAGGATATTTTTTATGTAAGTATATGCAACTAAAATTTTATTTAAATATTCTTTTTCATTGTAGACAATTAACAATTCTTACAGTTTATTTGCTCTTCTAATGAGTTTGGAGAAATAAAATGGAATTATAAAATGAAATTTATGTTACTAAGGTTAACCTTTGTTTTTGGCACTATAATACCGCAATGTAATTAATCAAAAAGGTTTTTGGTTTTGCTGTCGCAAATATACGTAAAGTAAATATTTACAATGATATTTTCTTAAATGTTAAAGTTTAAATTAATTACTGCATCCGTATATTGGATAATAAAATCATTATTGTTTATTATAGATTCTTGTGCAATAAATTAAGTTTAATTAATTCATAATTTTATTAGTATTAAATTTGAAATTGTTTAAAATTTTAAATTGTGTAATCAGCCAAAGATTATGGTTTTTTGTTACTTATAGTTTATTACTCATGTTTCCTGTTTTATTTAACAGAGAAATTTCATTCATAAAGAAAATTTTTACCGTAATTTTGCCAATCTGTATTTCTTTTGAATTAGTGCACGATATATGCAGTTCCAATAGCCACTCTGCGTGACTGTTCATAATTCTTACTTTAAATTCCATAGGAAAATAGTTTTGCTGAAGAAAAAGCATTGAACAGACATCTTGGATATTTAAAATTTCATAGTGCAAATATTTAAAATAGTAAACTTTTTAAAAAGATAGTCATAGCCTATTGCTATTTTTTTTTTTCGTTACTCTCCTTGGGAGCACTAGAATCCTCCACTTGACTTTAGATTCAAGTATCAGTGTTTTATAGGTCATTGGAATTGAATAGGCGGTGGCCAACCTACCGTAGTTTTTTTTCGTACTGAATATTGAACGTCATTGGAGCTGACTAGGCGGTGGCCAACCTACCGTAGTTTTACTTCCTACTAAATATTGAAGGCTATTAATATTCATTGTTTTTGTCGGTGTACAATAATAATTTTACATTAATATTTCATTTTATAATATTTTATATTAAGTTTTATAACAATAAATAATATAATCATTATAGTGATCTGACACTGGATTTAACCTGAGAGTTTTCGGTTAGAGGACCGGTTTCATAACCACTGTTAGATGTTACTAATTTACTCATCAAAATATTTGTACAATTTTACTTATTTTACTCAACAAAATTTATATTTTAAAGAAACTTGTGTATATTACGCCCTCAATTTTTCTCTGGATTCTATCACTAATATTCTGGCAAATTTAATGTTTATATAAAAATAAGACTTGCTGTGTGTAAATTTTGTAGTGTGAAAAATTATGAATAGCACATAATCGGTATTTAAACATGATGTAGAAAGTATATATTTTTTGTTATTTGTTATTAGGCCCACATATGGCTCGTGCTCAGTTATAGATATGCGTTGTAAATTTTAAGATATTTTTTGTTTCATTTCCCTTCAATTAATATTGCAAAATGACTAATTTGAATTATGCTGATTACGATTCAGGAACAAGTTAGGATATATACCATTTATCTATATGCATAACATGAAAATAACATGAAAATAAGTAAATTTTTTTTTACAATATAGTGTCAAATCAGAATCGCTCTCAAGATACAGGAATTTTAAGAATATTTTGCTAAATTTCAACACAGCTGAATTTATGTATAATTAAAAAACTCTTTTGGCGGACATTAAATTAAAAAAAAAAAGCGAATCCACTGAATACCATTGCCTCCTTAAGGTTTTAGATTGTTTTTAGTTCTTCTGTTTTTTGAACTAGTGCTAGAGTCCGGCAAAAATTAATTAAATAAAAACACAGCTCTTAAGTTTTTTTTTTCTTGTATAGGAAATCTCTGACTTTTTTTTTATTAATTTATTTTCTTTTTCTTGTATTTTTATTTTCGTAACATTTTTCTTAACTAGATTAAATAAATTTCAATATTTTTTAAATGACTCTTTTTTTTTTGTTTTTTTCTTTTTTATTTTATTCTTTTTAATTAAATTTAAATGATTTTTATTTTAAGTATAAGATGTGTTGGTGTGTGATGTGTTTCGGGTGTTTTTTGTTTTTTTTTCTATATGTTAAAAATGATTTTTCTTTTTTACATTTAATGTTTTTTCTGAGTGTTTTGTCTGTATATGTTCAAATTTGCTTTGTGATTTATTATTTTTTTCTTTTATTTAATTTTTTTTTACTAAATTTTGTTATTCTATCAAATAAACGTTTTAATCCTAAACATTGTTTCTTTTAATATTAATTACTTGTTTTTTTTTTTATTTAATTATACAGCTTTTATTATTGGTTTTGTTTTTTTAATAAAATTTTTTTGTTTTCTTAAAAATAATTTTTTTTTTCATTAGAATGAAAAGAGGAAAATTAATTTCACCTTTTATTTAATTTTTTTAAATATAAATATGACGGTTTTTTTGTAAAATATAGGAAGTTTGGTTTGTAATTGATCACTTCATTTGTTGAGGATTGAAGGATTTTTATAAAAAATATTTGAATGTTTTGGAATTTCCTTAAAAAGAAATCTGGCACGGCCTATTTATTTTTTGATAATAAATTTGGATTAATAGACAAATGTTAATATAGCAAAATTACTAAAAATCGGTTTACAAAAGTAAAAAATTTTAATTAGTTAAGCATTAATAATTTAATAATTATTTTTAAGGTTTAACGTCTCAATTTAGTCATCATGGAATTTATTGTAAGTGTGTTTTAAATTTATAATTCGCTTGTTTGCTGAAACAATTTGAGAAAATCTAGTTGAAATCGATTTTCTGTTAATATGTCGTACTTCTGTTTTAGCATTATTATTATAAATTATTGTAAGTAAAAATTTTTAAGCTAGACAAGTTGCGTTTTTCCACATTGGTGTATAAGTAACTTAGAAAATGTATATTTTTCTAGTTATATTACTGTTGCAGCGAATGAGCGATTTGATTTAAACACATATTTTATGCTGAATATATAATTGATATAATCAGCATTTGAATTTATAATTTTACGTAAAAAATTTGGGAGAAATTTCAGATTTAACTTTTATATTTTGTTTCGTTCCTTTATGGCGTGATATTTTAAAAAAAACATGTTACATAGTTTTATGCTCTGTAATTTTTACACAAGCTCTGGTTATAAAAGTTTGTTAAAAGATTTTCTTATTCTATCGATTGGTTGGAATTGTGTGTAGGTTTTTGGTAAATAATTAAAATCTTTTGTTCGTATTGTATGTGGTGTTATTACTTTTTTTATAAGGGCTTATGTGTTATTTTAAGTTATTTTAAATGAATAAAATGAATATTAGTAATACTGACTTATTAAAATAAATGGGAGTAATCTTTGTATTTCGGAGTAGTGATTGTAAAACTCTGACTTTTATATTTATACAATAAACCTGCATAATCCTGAAATTAATTATATCCCCTTAATAATATTATGGAAATTGGTAAATATGTTTTTCTTTCGTTTTTTTTTAAGGAACAAATAAAATATATTTTTTTTTTCCTTTATTATTTAATTTTTTTGTGAAGGGTTTCTTTCTTTTTTATTTTATTAAAATACAATTTCACTTGTTTTGTTTGACAATTTTTCAGTTTTTGTGTGTGTATATGTATGTATGCTTATATATGTAACTTTTATTTAAAATGATTTCAAATCAAATTAACGAAATTTAAAATATTTTCTGAATTTTTTTTTATAGCAACAATTATTTTTTATATTATTAATATTCTTTCTGTTTTTATATACAAAAAAATCAATGAGAATAATTTACAAAACTTTTCTTTTTTTTAAATATTTTATTTCTTTTTCTATTTAATTTATAATTTTTTTTCTTTTATTATTTTATAAATTTTTATCTAAGGCCATATTTCGAAATCTTCACATACATAAATTTATAGTGTATAGAAATTATTTTAATAAATTTATTTTTTTTTTTATTTATTTAATCAATTTAATTTATTTTTTTAAATTTTAATTATTTTTTTTATATTTTTTTTAATATAAAAATATTACAGCCTGAAATACAATAGTAGGGATAAAATTTTATTATAAAAAGTTATTATGAACTTAATTTAGGAATAATAATTTTGTTATTGGTGGTAGTATTTGGGATTTAATATTGTAAATAGAAAAGTATTTGGAATACATGGAAAAGATTTTTGAAAATGAATTTTTGACTCATCATAATCTTAAAAAATGATACCAAATCTATCACATAAAGCTAGATGTTGCTAATTGAATAATAAATTTGGATTAATATGCATTTGGTGGAAATGGTTGAGCTATTACCAAATTAATTCAAATTTAATTTAAATTCAATTTCGAAATATTTAACTGCAATTTTCAATTTTACAGATTTACAGTGAGTAAAGTTGTGCGTTGAGAAATTTATGTATAAATAATGTTGTATAAAATATAAATTGACCTTATTATGACGAATCTTGAGAATGATACTGCAATTACTCAAAATTGTTAATTTTTTAACTATAGGCGTGTAGCTGAAAGCGCAAAATATTTCTCTATATTTTGCCCCAAATTACGTAAAACGGTATATTTTAAAAAATTACCGTTTTTATCCGAAATTTTTTAAGTTCAGTTTTCGAATTTCTTTTTTAGAGTTTGTTGCTTGTTAAATTTAATACCGCGATATTTTGCGATATCACCCAAACTCAAAAAATATTTTAATTAAATACCGCGACATATTGAAATAGTAATAATAAATAGTTTTCTTGAATCAGTTGCAGCAACATTTCGATTAATACCAATTTAATGAAAAGAAATTCAGATTTAAACTGCAAAAATTCAAAATATTGCACTCTTACACATAATTAAATAAAATATATTCTTTTTTTTTTATTGAATATAACACTGCAATATTTTGTTTTATTTTCTTTATTTTGCATAACCTTAAAATTAATACCAGTATAAAACAAAATGTTTCGGTCTTTAATTTCCCCTACAAAAATAGCATAAATTTTCAATTTACTTGAAACTTTAGATTTAGAGATGTTTCAATATTATTCCCAAGATGCGATAAGATATGACGAAAAAAAAAGTAAAATTTAGGATAATGTAGAGCAACCGTTGGCAAACTTTTGTGTGAGTATGGGCAACTCGAGTATCTTACATTACCTACTTATAACTGACTTTATTTTGACAAATAATAAATTTTTATGGAATTTTATGTACTTAACGTATAACTATATTTTCTAATGCCATATATATCTATCAGGCCATCAAGCTCAGAGAGCAAATCAAAAATAAATTCCAAATTTATATGGCGTTTAAATGGAACTGGTATCGGAATTTTGTTGTGTAAAGGAAATTGATCAATGTTTTTAGCTCTACTGATTCTACATATTATTTGAAATTTAAAATTTATAATTGTTAGAATTTATGAAATATTCTTAAAAAATTAATATTTTTAAATAATCAAGTAGTTTTAATTTGCAATCTAGTTAAAATGCATAATATAGAACAACAAAAATATTGTATGTATTCCAAAATATTTTTCATGTTATTTTTTTTCGTAAAGGCGTAAAATTTGGGTCTTATTATTCATTTTAAATTATTTTTAAATTTAAATATTTACATATATTTATGAAATAATTAATATAAATAATATATTTTATAGAATATATTTTATAGAATAAAAAATATTTTAATTAAAATTTTCTAGAAATTTTAAGTGTACAAATTGAAAATTTAATAAAAAAATAATAATTTAAGCGTCAATTTCTTTTTATGTTAATTAACTATTCTGTTATAATAAATAATTCTATAATAAAACTGATATTATTATGAATTTAAAATAAAATATATACATACATAATTTATTTTAATATGTTTAATAAATATTAAATATTTTGAAATTTTATTTACATATTTATAATTCAAATTCGAATCTTTCACTTTAATTTACTTTTATATTCTTTTTCTTTAAAATATATTTTGTGTTTTTTTTTTTATAAATTTTAGTAAAGCGTCACAGTATACCAAAGCGTTTGTATTTTTTTTATAATCATTTTTGTATTTATTTATTCATTTTATTTTATTAGATTTTTGTATTAATAGTTTTTTAATTAGTTTGATTCAAATTTAATGTATTTTTTTTTTGGTTTAGATTTTGTGTAAATATGATTTTTTTTTTAATAAATTATTTTCTAACCTAACATATTGCAATTATTTAATTTATTTAATTTTTTTTTATATTATTTTTATTTTTTAGGTTTTGGTATTGGATCTCAAAACAAATTAAAATTTGATGCTATGGAAAGGAGCAACAAAATGTAGATATAGCTAATACAATTAATGTGATCGAAAAAGGAGAAAATTTTTATGTTTGAATTTGACATCGAACCAATAGAAAATCAAACGTTCAATTTAAGTAACTATAATTTTAGTTAAAAGAGAAAAAATTTGTATGTACTTGTGATTGGACTGGAAAATATTTTTGTACATACCAAAATTTTTTAAAATTGCAATAATACAAACGTTATATGGATGATAAGGAGATACCTAAAATTTTGGACTCTTGGATGAAATTTCAAACATAAAAATTATTTTTAATGAAAATTAGAAAAAAAAAATTGCTATAATATTTAGTAATTGGAATCAAATTAAAATACAAACGTTATTAACAAATTCTGGTTGCATTCGGTCCCATATTACTATGACAAAAAATTTATATTCATTCACTTTACAAATTAGTGTTGATTGAATTCTTGAGAAAGTCCTTCTTTTGTTTGTAGTCTGTTAAGAATAAGAAACTTCTGTAGCGTTTTTCATTACGTCTTTGTTGTTTTTAAAATAGGTGTATTAAAATATTCGTTACGTGGAGGGCCATACGCGTACAATAAATTTTTAATTTTTTTTTATAATACTTATGAAGTTAGTTTACACCAAATTTCTTAGATAGTTTTTTATATTCACCTATAAAATTAAAAAATTATTTTTAATGTTTGAAAAAAAAACTTTCTTTAATAAGTCTTAAACTTATTTAACTGTGCAGTTTAAGTTTTTTTATTAGAATATTTTTATGGGGGCGGACGTGCTCTTATTGTAATATTTACTAAAGGAGAAAGGTTTATTGCATAAATTTAATATTAAATTTTTATTAAAATGAAAATTTTTTATTCTGGGTTGTATAATGCTTTCAAAATGTGTTAATATGAAAATTATATTGATTTTAATGATTAATGCTTTACAGCATTAAAATTTTAGATTTTAATTATGTCGATTATTGCAATATTTTTAAAGTGAAATGGATTTTTAAATGGAATTTTAAAAAACAAAGTAAATAATTTTTTGTCACACTTGAAACTTACTGATGAATTATTTGTTTTCATGTTTTTTATAATTTTTATTTATTTGACTTGTATATAAACTAAGTTTTGCAGAGGGTCGATTTGAATAATGTGCTATTATGTTGTTTGCTAAGGTTACAATTTTTATTTCTACTTATGTGAATTTAGTTAAAATATTAAAAAAAAAAATGCAAAATATTTATGTATAAATTTTGAGCGATCACTTCAATTGTATTTTAATATTAAATGAAAATTAAATTTTAAAATTATTAATATTTTTTTTGTATTAATTAAAAAAAATTATCCTTTTTGCATTTAATTTCGTTGTTATTTTGTTATTTTAAATTATTGCCTAAAATGGTGAATTATTGATTGTGAATTTTTATTTATTTTTTATTTATTGTTAAAATAATTTTTTTGTTATAATACAAAAAAGATTTGTTTTAATAATTGTGTTAAATTAAACTATAAATTATTTTATTGATTCAAAATAAATTTTTTTTAGATTTTGTAGAAATTTTTGTAAAAAAAACTATTAATTAAAATTTTTAAGCTCATAAAGATTATTCTAACGATCTATTAAAATAATTATATTACTTTTATATTACAATTTTACACTTTTTTTTTTGCTTTTGAGATTACTTTTCTATATTTGTGTTTTAAACTAATGTTGGAAATTTTAAAGAATTCTAATGGAAAATTAATAGTAACTTATTCATCCATATTTTGTTTAGCATTCCACTGCTTTGACTTGATGGCTTGTTTTTGAAATGTCTTATAATTCTCTAATGAAAATAAATTCCGGAATTGTACAGAAAAACGAAATTCTTTTCAAAAATATCCTGTCACTTCAAGTGATGCGACTAACAGAATATGAGGGACTAAATTTGTTTCTATATACAGATATTATATTAGCAAATGACGGTCATTTTATGGAAGTAACAAAAATATTGACATTCTATGTAAAAAAGAAATTTATATAAGAAAATAGTTATTTTTTAATTGTACTTGTGTTCGGCCGTTTTTGATGTGGAAGAGAAAGCGCATCCCGGCTTTCTTTTATGACTGGAGGACCTGTTGGCGGGGTTTTTAACGCGACTTTTGAGATTTGCCAAGGAGATTAATTTGTTCCGGTTTAGGGTTTATGTGGTGGTTGTTAGGTGTTAATTTGAGTGCCGCCAATTGGCCTTGCTGTTAGCCTAGTGCATGGAATTCGCGTGGGTGAATTCGCCTATTTTTCCTACTAACTACTTCAATTTGTAGAAGAGAAGGCGCGAAATGAAGATTGGAAATTAATGAATTATACAGAATTGCTGAAAAATAAAAATTTTAAAAATACTATTTGTATATGCCTTATGCAATTCGTATTTTCATGGGTGTAATAAAAATATTTTTTATTTAAAACTTTAGCGTTATCGAAAAATGAAAATTTTGAAGTTAAGTTTTCTTAATCTTAAAAAATCTCAATTGTTTTTGAATTTTGAAAAATGATTTATGTTTCATATTATATTCGTAAAAGTTTAACAAAAGCATTGGAAACAAACTATTGGCTAGCTATTAAAATTTCCATTAAATTCTTTAAAAATTTTTCAATACTTAATGATTTTATACTACATATAACATTTAATCATTCTAAAATATTTATTTATATTTGTAATAGAATTTTAAGAAATTTTTTAAAATTAATTTCTGCATTAAAGTTGCAATTGAAACTAAATCCATTGTAATTGCAATTATTTATCAAAAAATTAGATTGTAGTTTTTTTTGTATTTTATTTTTTTTTTGTTCCCAAAACGCATGAATTATTTTATACAAATTTCATTAAAAAATATAAATATTTTTAAATAACAATTTAAGGAATTTTTGTTTGTTAAATCAATAAGTGAGTTGCCAATTTAAAAATAAAATCATGTAAATAAAGTTAGAAATTTTATTTATAACAATTTTTAATGGAATAAGAATAATAAACTATTAGATCGTAAATTGTATTGAAGTTGTGTAGAGAAAAATGTGCATGTTTATTATAATTGAAATTTAACGATAACCAAACACAATATGCACAATTTTACATTAGCTTAGATAATTTTCTATTGCAAATTTAATTATAAAACAAATTAAGAAACTTGTAAATTATAATTTATTAATAATGTTTAGTTAGAATTTAATATTATCGTAAGAATTAACTCTACGATATACATAGCATGTTAAATATTAAATTATAAGTTAATTAAGTCCAAATTGTTGTTAAAGTACTCTTTCTGAATTGAATAGATAATACTTTTAAAGTAAATTAAATTTCATTTAAAATAAAATAAAAAAAAGGCAATTTTAATTATTCTTGTAGTTTGAACATATTTTAATGCAGATATAAGAAAATAATTTTTTTTTTCAAAAATACTATTTATTTATTTATTTGTTTATATTATTTGTTGTGCTATTTAATTTTATGAATAAATAGGCAAAATTATACAATTGCACATATTTAAAATTTGGGATATAAACAAATATACAACATGTTATGTTTGTTTGTATATTGTGTTGAAAAGTAGGATAAATTAAAAAAAATTAAAAGTATTCTTTGAAATTAATTGATTCTTGGTTTTTATTAAAAAACAATAATTGAAATTTAATTTAAAATGGCAACCACAATGAAATTTAAATATAATTTTAAATTGTAATGAATTGTGTTATATTTGTATAAAAAAAAAGCAAACCTCTATTTTTATGTTTTAAAAATTTATTTCGAATTCCTATGTACAATATCATAATAATTTAAAACTAGATTTAATATTTTTTTGTCCAAGTGAAAACTGTTATAATAAACTATTGAATATTATATTGTAAGCTCTGAAAATAAAATAAAATATTGTTACCATAATGTTTGGTAAATCACAAAAATAATTTTAAGTACATATTCAAATATATTAGCCAAGACCGGTTCTTAGCGACCAACATTTTCTTAAATATTTAGACAAAATAAAATTGGACGTAGTTCTTATACATTATTGCAATTGTTTAAATCAAATATGAATTGATTTAATAATATTATAACACACTAGAAATTAACAGCACAAAATACAAGTTGTATAATTATATTTAAATTAATCTGCACAACATGTGCGTTGATAAAACAATATAAAGTTGAATAATATTTAGGTTATTGCTCTTTTATAAATAAGAAATATGAGCTCATTTAAACAAAAAAAAACCTGCCAGTCAAGTTACTAGAGGAAAATTTTTTTAAATATCTAAATTAAGAATTTCAATTCAAATTAATTAAAAATTTCGTAGACTTAGTGCTAATGCCTCATTTCCATTTGTTTTTAAATATTGTAAACATTTTATATGTGCAACTAGCATGTTTTCTTATTTGAAATGTTAGAATTGTTCGAGAACATATAATTATGTTATTAAATTTTGAAAAAGAATCACATTAGAATGAATTACAAACAAATTTTGGAGATCTTTTATAATATACGATTAGGATTTTTAATATTTTTACATTTATTTTTTGGTATTTCATTAAGATTGTTGTAAGATTTTGTTTCACTTGAACATTATATTTTATAAATCTAGTTTTATTCACAATAGAGCTAATTCTAATTTCTCAAAACATTTCTTTATTATATAAATTATATTTTATTCCTATATGTTTATGTATATAATCTTTCTTATTATTTTAACTTTTATATTTAATGTTAAATTTTTGTTTATTAAATTATTTACAATTTATATTTCTAAATTAATAATAACTAAATTACTATGTGTGTATATGTATATATGTATATATACGTTTTCCAGAAACGTATTATGTTATGATTTTCTTTATTATTTGATATATTTTTCTGTTTCATTTTTATTATTATCCTATATGTACATTATTATTATACATATTTAAATTTATTTATAATTAATAAATAAATTAAATATAAAATAAAACGATAATGTTAAACATTAAAGTGATATAAATGAACAATACAAATAAAAAAATAATATTTATTTGTAAAATATTGTGATAAATATTAATTATTTACAATATTCAAGTATATTTCTATATATATACGAGTAATTTATTTTCCATTTTATTGAAAAATTTTTTTTTAGCTTCTTATGAAAATTACGTTTATTATTAAAAATAGGCAATAGAAAAATTAAAAATCAATTAATTAATTTATTCATTAAGCTTTAAATCATTGTGTTTCGTTATCATTTTGTTTTTTTATTCTCCGATTAAATTGGTGAATTTTTCTTGTGATAAAAATTATTTTGCACGCAACAGTTGAAATATTCAGCCCTAATACAATAATATTATGATACAAATTTTTGTGGTGAGTTGTGAACTTTTATGCGGTATTAAAATTTTAAATTGAGAATAATGCATTGTAAGTTAATGGTGGTATATTTGCGATTTTAATGATTTTTCGAATTTGTTTTTTTTATTATTTGTTGACTACTGATTAATTATTAAATGTAAATATTTTTTATTTGATTGGTTTTTTTTAAGTGAAAATATTTTCATTATGTTTTACTATTTTTTTTTTGTTTGGTTTTTTTTTCTGTTATATGTTAATTAAGGTTGTGTCTATTGAATTTTTTAATATCTTGTATTTTGCTTGGGTGATTACTAAATCCATTTATTTTTACTTGATATTGATGAGCGGAGCCTGCGGCCCCACATTAGGTTGTATCATACAATTGTTCCTTGTAGATGTTGTGGTGATGGAGCGGCTGATTGTGATTGTTGTTCCGGTTGATTCAACTGTTGCATTGATGATCCACCCATATCGACTGTATTTATACCTAATGCAGAGCCACCTAATGTACTACCACCTAATGTAGATGGATTAACTCCACCAATACATGGTACTGGTACACCTAATATTGGTGTTGGTTCTTCTGGTGGAGTAACCTTTTTTATATATATGCACATTGTGTATATGAATGTATATAAAGTTTGGAAATTAAGAAAAAAAAAAAAATAAAGAGAAAAAACAAAAAAGGTTTATTTGTGTCAATTGTATAAAATTATTAATTCAATTTTGTAAAATCAAAATAACGTTATTACTCTTCTTGTAACAATTTATAAACCTGTTTAAAATGCACCATATTTAAAATCATTATATATTTTGTTCATCAAAATATTTAAAACATTTAACATGTTTCTAGTTTTGAATGTGCAATAATTACGCATATTTATCATCCGGAATACATGATAATTAATAGAATTTTAATACTTGAAGATAAACTTAAACTGAAGTTAAGTTTTTTTTTTAAATGTTTGTATACAAGCACATATTTTATTAAATTAATGTCGCCGTAAATAATAACGTAATGGCAAACACGTAATGGAAAAAATTTAAAAATATTTTAATATTTTATATGTTTTGCTTTTTTTAGTTTTTAATGACGCCCCTGTTTTACGGCTCTCATTGCAAATGCTTACTTTGCATATATATATATAAGATTCGGCATTGCGTAATATGTATGTTATCTAATCCGATAGAAAAACAACATTTTTTTAATAAAAATAAAATTAACTTACCTCTAATCCTATGCTACCATTTAATGCTATTTTAATTGGATTTGTATGATTTGTTGCTTGCATCAGTGTTGTAAAATGACTGATACCAATTTCCTCTAATGATGATTTTCGACGTCCAGATACACCAACATTTGGTAAGCCCTGTCGTAATGAACTAGATCTTCTTAAAAGGATATCACTATCAATCTGTTAGTTGATTTTTATTAATAATGTTGATCCATTTACATATAGATGTTTGTTGGTTTGTTGATTGGTTGGTTGGTTTGTTAGTTGAATTGTTTTCAATTTTTTTTTTTTTTTGATATGTTTGAAGTTTGTAGGGAAATAAAAAATTAAATAATAAAAAGTAAACCAAGGAACAGAAACAGAAAAAATTTTTAAATTAAAAGTGCAAAGAAGCTAAAGTGAAATTATAATAATAATAATAATTAAATATACAGAGAAAAACATAGAAAATTTAAAACAAAGACAATAAAGTTTTTTCTTTGTTTTAAAGAAAAAATTTGTTAATAATATTGTTAGATAGTATATAAGAATTGTGTTTTTGTTTTAGTTAGTGCAAATTTGTTTTCTTTCAATGTTTTTTGTGGTGTATTTACAGAGTTATTTGAAAGAATTACTTTATTTATAGAAGTTTACCATAAAATAACTTCAAATACTTAGTATAGTTAACAATTATAATGAATACATATTGAAAATATATGGTCAATAAAGAGGGGATTTGGTCAGCACTTTCTTGTAAATTTCTCAATATATTTTGTAAATATATCAGCTTAATTGCACTGCAAGATTAATATCATTGCTCTTAATTTTGAATTTGAAATGCAATTCAATTTTTTGAATTATATAATATTTAAAAGCGGAAAAAAAATTTTTGTCGAAATTCAAAATACAAATGAAAAGATTAAGGAACTTAAGAATGTCCAGTTTTTGTTATTTGAATTTCAATATTTTTAGTTATTATTTGCCCAGAGCCGTTTTAGAGACGATCTAATGAAAAATGGTTAAAAACCGATCTAATGGAAAATAACAAAAAATGAATGGCAGTACTTGTATTCTAATTTCTCCTCAGATAAGAAGACATAACGATTGACATAAGGCGGTTGTATTCAATTATAATGCTTAGGTTAACTATTTAGGTTTCGATTTTTTTTTTAAAATATAGAAGTTATTTTATGGTTCTAGATAATAGAAAAAAAATTTTTTTTATACATACAGTCAAGTCGTAAACAAAATCGTTAAGAAATTTATTTTGATATCCAGCTTAATCATGGTGGTTTTTAACGTGTCACATTTTAACATTTTCTTTTGTTCTATTCTTAAAACTATTATGTAGTTCAAAATATATTTGTTTGGTTGTTTAAATAAAAAACTCAAACTTATTGTTTTCAATTCAAAATGTTTTTTACAGAATTAATATTTTGTGTGTAAATTTAAGGAGTGGGGGGTATTGGTATAAAAAATTTCGAAATTGGAAAATCTTATAAAGTGTAAAATTAAAAATTTGAATGAAAATTGTTTATTTAAAGCTCGATAAAATTCGATAGAATTGGAGGAACTGCACTAAATTTTGATCTTAAGCATATTATGCAATGTTGGAAATTTTTTAAATGGTATCACCTAATTATATCATACAATTGAAAAATATTTCATAGTAAGTAACTATTATATTCAGTATAATCAGTTTGAAAATAGTATAGATTTGTTAAATTAATATTGAGTCCTTTCAATATTGTTTGAAAATCGTTCAAAAGCAATGTGAATTGCTTTGAATTTTTAATGTAGTACAATATTTTATTACAATTCTAACTTATTACAATTCTTCTTTTCAAATATTAATCTCTTATAAAAATTCTACCTATATTAAAAGACCGATTTTAAATATTTTATATAATTATCATTATAAAGTGAACACCAGTCCTATATTAAGTAATTTTATAGAATAAATGTATATTATATAGGACAAATATTTTAATAAACATCTCATAAATTAATCTTTTCAATTCTAGCTATTTTAAATGGTTATTTATTTTCATTAAAATCTTCGTATACTATATAACATAATTTCAATTAATTAATTAATATATGTATATTTATATGGTTATGATATATAATATATAATTTACTTATATAATAACTAACTTGATTTAATAAAAATCCCTTTATTCTTGAACCCAAAAAGGAATATGAATTTGAACTTTTGCTATTATTATAAAGTTTAAACTATGAATTTAAACTGAATACTCCTGTAACTCCACAACCTGTATATAATATAGATATTAAATTGAAAAGAAATATGTATATTGTTAAATAATTTTTTATTTATTTAACTATATGTAAGAAAATATTAAATTTTTAATAATCTTATTTAAATGTTTTGAATGATGCTTTGTTAGTTACCTATATATGAATCTTATTCCATAATTTTAGTATTAGAATTGAAATATTTTTTTTTTTGAATTTTTCTATAACAATATAATATTCTATTAAAAAAAAATTTAAATTTATAAGTAAAATGTAGAAAGTTAATTATTTAAAAAATGCTGATGATATTTTTCTATTTTCTATATTTATTTTATAATTTTAATATATTGTGTAGAAAAGTATGTACTATGCAATAATATATAATATATAGAATGTAGATAATCATGTAAAAATTGAAAATTTAATATGTATAATTAAAAAATTATTGTGGTGATTCGAGAGTGTATATAAAGTATATTATTGTTTATTGTATGAATTTGTATTGTAAATAGCTAGCAATTTGAATTCTAATTAAATAATATATTAATTCGTGTTTAAAGGTGTTCTTATGTATTATATTTGTGTTATATGTACATTATATATAACATGTTAAGTATTATTATGTATTGTATATATGTTTATGAAGTTTTTTCGGTCTTTTATGTTTATGGGATCAGATCTCTACAAATAGTGCATAAAGATATTCTAAAAATTTTATTTATCTATAACGTATGTAAAGGATTATGTATAGATTTTAGTGCAGCTATTCTGCACATATACGTACGTAAGTAAGATAGTAAGTAAATAAAGAATATTGATTAGATTTAGAATTCTATTAGATATTGGCTAGATGGTTAGATTGTAGATAGAAATTTTTTTATTATTAAATGAAATTTGATTTATTCTATTAGACAAGCTATCATTTTAAATAAACAGAAATTATTATTACAATTGTATTAACAGAATTATATTACATAAATTATTGTCGATATTTGAAGTAAAAGTAATTTAAAACCTATAGTTGATTTGTAAAATCAAGGACCCCTCTGACAGTATTTCTTTTGATTTTGATTTAAATTGTTTTTTGAATAAAATTTAAAATAGAAAACTTCGTCTTTAATAGCTTATTCAGATTACAGGAGAATAACAATTTGTAAAATTACATGTTATCTTCGATTAACATGTTAAAGGAAATTGGAGTCAAACTACATAAACTGTTTTCTTTTAACAGTAAACCTGTTTTGAAATATTTTTGGATTTAAATTTACTAAAAAATATTATGAATTTAAATTTTTCCTTGATTTGAGGAAAAGATCCCAAAAATAAATTATTCACAATAGGAAAACATGTTTTATTTTGACAAATTTTTTCCATATTGAATTTGTAGTTAAACACTATGAATAACATGATATTCGAGAATAACATGTTGTTCGTTGTAGTGTTACAACTTAATTGCATACATGTGATAAATATTGTATAATATTATAAATTTTATTGAATTCCTTATAGTGTCTTTGAATATTAATTTTCTAAAGTATTTTTCAGTTTGCTCAGAGAAAAATATCCACAATTTCAATATAATCAAATTATATCGCATTGAATATGCCACTGAATACAAGTTTTTCATTATATAAGAGTCCATTAAAGAGTCTTGTACGTAATGACTGTGCTTTACGATCGTATTACATTATAAAATTATAAATTTGTTACAAAAATGTTTGTTATATTTTTGGACAAGTTTACAGTGTGATTAATAAACACTTATTGTAGGAACACAGACAATATTGTTGGGACATTTATTACAAGTTTTGTTTTTTCAAAAAAAAAACACTAATAATATTTTTTGTTGTCTATAGGAAATTTTTTGCTTACAAAACGATTTAAGTATAAAAGTGTAAATTGTATAACAAAATGATTTTGTTTTTGTTTTTTTTTTTTGAAATTTAACATAAATTCAATATTAAAAACAATTGATTTAAACAGAAATAAAAAAAAAAAATATAATGAATTAATGTAAAAAAAAAATAATGAAAATTTTGAAAATATACAAAAGAATTTTCTTTTTTTTCTGAGACACCAAATAACAACAAGAAGAAATGCTTTTCTTTTGCGTTTCAAATTATTGTAATAATTAATAATTTTGTTTTGGATTTCGTTATGTTTATTTTGGTTTTTCTTTTTATTTTTTTTTTGTACAGGGGAACAACATAAAGTATATAAAAAAAAAACTTGAAAACAAAAATGATAGAAAATATTTGGCCGTACCCTCAATGAATTACTCCTTCCACGTGTTTGACCAACAACAGTAGGGCTGTCGGGTAGAGAAAGAGAATTGGATTTAATTGCGTTTATAGGCGGAGTACCTCTTGGTGTACCATACCCAGCTAATGTTTGTACACTTTGCATTGGATTAATTCCTAAACCGGAACCACGTCTTGAACCTGGTGGTACATTTGCAGCTCCTAAATTAATATTCGAACAAAACGATATGTTTGATTTTCTTCTTGAATTATGACGTTCAAAAGTTTTTTGTGCTGAAAATGGTGAAGGTCTTACTAAATATCTGTAAATAAATAAAAGTAATTGAAGAAAGAAGAAAAACGAGACAAAAAAAAACAAAAACGGGAAGAGAAAAATTTCCAAAGAGAAATAAATAATTAAATTAATTAATTAAAAAAAATATATAATTTTTTTAAATTTAATAAATTTTATGAAATTTCTTTTGTTTTTTTTTCTAGAAAGCCATTCCCAATATTATTCTACACACTAATATCTACTGTCTACAGCATTTTGGATTTTTTGGATTATGTTTTTATGCATCATATGTAAATTTTTGTTTCCATTTTTTTTTTATTTTTTATAAATTTTTGTAACTATGTGTGCTATATGTTTCCATATCTTACATTATATCTCCTTCTTCTAATTTAAGATCACAGCTCGGATTTATGATTACATATGATAAATGATTACGTTTTTCACTGACATCATCATAGTCAATGGTCGGTAAATTTAATGATTCCATGCGACTACGTACTAAATTAGCAACTTCAGCTCTTTCAATTTGCTGTGCATGATTATCACGTGCCTCATCGGCCATATTGATCGAATACTGAAAAAACATTGAAGACTAGTTACGATTAGGATCGTATTTTATTATTTTAATATATTAACTAATTTTCTCTATATATAAATATAACAACAATTGATTATTACTTTTAGAACTTCTTATAATAACAAATGACATAAAAAAAAACATAAATAATAACAAAAACAAAAAAAAAAACTAATACCAAAATAAAAAATCAAATTGTTAATCACTTTACAATAAATTTGCTGTCTATACATATTAGTAAAATCCGATAATTAATTAAATAAGAATAAAAATAAACAAAAAAAAAATCAATAAATCATAAGCTTCCCAAAAAACAAAACTATCGTGCATTGTGATGCATGCCCTTCTAAAAAAGAATTCTCCTTTATCAGTAAATTATATAATAAATAAATTAAATTATTAATTACAATATAAATTAAATTTTAATTGAAAAAATCGTCATCACCAAAATTTTCTCCCAAAATTTGTTTTTTTTTAAGCCACTAATCTATATAACAATAAAATAAATTTTTTTTTAGCATTCCATGTTGATTAAGTAACTGGCTTTTTCTATTTTTTTTTTTTTGTCAAAATGGTTATGTTTAGTAAATAATCTGTTTAACATTGCATATTTATAGGGTTAAGTTATTATAAATTTGTCGCCAATTACAGTTATTTATTAATTTTATATAATATACAAAATAAAAATTTTGTAAGCTACAATGGAATTTATAAAAATTGCCATACAAAAACTGTTTAAAGCGTATTTTGGAATAGAAGACATACAAGAAGTTTCGCACTTACAAGCTGAAAAATATTTGAAGTATAATTTATTAAATTTAAATTTATACTTGAAATAAATCAAATACTTGACGTATATTTTATAAATCTGTAAACTAATTATAAAAATTTTATTTATGTTCATATTTTGTTATTTTGTTTTACAAACGCAAACACTATTAACAGAGGTAACATCCTTAATGTAAAATGTGTCGCGATATACTAATTAATTATCATATTGCGACACATTAATTCATGGTATATATTAACCGGTTTCAGTACATTAACCGATTTTTTCGGGTCGCACTCGCATATCTCGCTTTTTTACTCGTCTATTGAGAGGAAATCTGAGTATCAAGTATGAAAAATATGAAAAGTAAATGTATACAAACATCACTCATCATTCATTTACATTATTTTTAAAAGTGATAGGGTTCAGATAATATTTTGAAGAAAGCTGCGAAAATCTGTCTGAAAACATATAGGAGAATAATATATCAGCTGTACTAAATTAAGATATAATGAATAATTGTTTGTATGTTTTGGCTGTAGATTGAACAAAATTTTTTATATTTACTCATACGCGATATTGAAAATTCCACATAAATAAGAATGAGATCAAGCGGCATTGGAATTAAATGGGATATTTTAAATACAATATTTGTGCAATTGTTAATTTATTAACAAGGTATTATTTCCTTCATACTATAATAAAATTTACTTTATATTATTTAATTCCGTAAATCGCCACTTCAAATTTAAAATATAAAAATTGTATAAATTCACAATATACATAAAGCGTATAAATATAATTGTATGTCCAAAACATATTTAATTCTTAACCAAATATTTACTAATTTTACAGGTATTCGTAAATTATAATACTCGTAGGTATTTTCATAAACACAATACTGCAAAACAATGATATGATACATACGCAATATATTTTTGACAGTTGTATAAAAACTTTTGCTATTAATGAATTCGCAGTATTGTTTTCATGAACCAAAAATGTGGTTTATATTTTCTTCCTTTAATTGACTTTCAATCGGATCAGACTCAGAAATTTTAAAAAAGTAAGTAAAGTCAAACTGCAAAAACTAGTAAAAACAAAAATGGTCAGCTGATTTAACTGCTCTAGCCATGATAATATAAATATTTTAGTGATAGATTAACAATGTTTATGAACAGATTTGATTAGCAACATTTGTTTATGAACACAAATATAGCACAGTTGTCGTTATATATCGCGATATACTGCGATTATGAAAAGGTATATATACTTGAAAATGTTAACCACAAGATGTAAAACGTAGCTAAATTCATATTAAAATATAGCCTTAACATATTTTGATTCACATTTATACTTATTAATTAATGTTCGAATTTTTGAAATAAACATATATTTTTTATTATATATTTAAAACCACACTATTATTTAAAAGTTACCAATGCAGAAGGTATCTGTCTTTAATGCTAGAATCGAAATCAATACAAATATACACAATATTATATATATATAAATATATATATTATATATATATATATTTATATATATACATATATATATATCATAATTTTTAAATTTCATATTTTCCTATATTAGACGAATCATTATAGCCCTATATGATTTAATTAAAATTTTAAATTCAATGTGTATACTATAGAAGTATTGAAGCCATGTAAAATTACATGAAATTTTACATCATTGGGAAAATTGAAATTTAATTTTATTTTTCTATTTAACCAATATTTTCTATTTTGACACTGTTTTTTTTTGGAATACATGTGTGCAATATTCTACATGCATAATTTATAATATATTATGTAATTAACTACAACATTAGATTATTAACTTTATAAATTAATATTAGTGCTTGAAATTTGAATATGGTGGAGGGGGAGAATAAAATTTACATTAAATTTATGGTAAATATTGAATTAAGTTATACTGGTATACATACATATAATATGATGTTTATTATATTTGAGAATATTATTCATAATTAAAAATTTAATTGTATAACATTTTGTAATATAATTAAAGTACATAATGTGTTTAGTTGAATTCAATAAAAGAGTTATATTTTTTAATAAATTTAATTAAAATGGAATTTAAAAAATTAAAATGTTTGATAATAAAAAATGTAGTAATTTTATATTATTTATATAAATGTATAGCAATTTATACGGACTACATTTAAGTGAAATTGTAAAAATTTATAAAAGATAAACTCTCAGCTCCCAATTACTATTATAATATAGAAATTATTTAGTATTACAGTGAAATAATTATTGTGTTATATTATAATATCGTGTATTATGTACAAATTAAATTTTTTTTTTAAATTATATTGAACAATTATTTTAATATTAATATTATAATTTCTAAAATAGATAAATAGAAAGCTTAATAAAATCTTTGTAAAAGGGAAGAATTAAATTTATTGTTATAATTTATTGTTAATATTAATTTACAACTAAAGAATATTATTAAGAAGATTATAATACATTATATATACATATTATATGTATAATGGATTTTGTAATGTTCGAATGTTATGTCAAATTTCGTTTATGTTAAATATTTCTAATTACTGTATATAATGTAAAATTAATGTTATCATATATCATATAAGTGAAGTTGTAAATTTGTAATATATATATATATATATATATATATATATATATATATATATATATATATACATGATTTTATTTAGTATACAGAATGTTATATGTGGAAATTTTCTGAAATCTTAATTATTTCAATATTTTTCAGTTAAAGAAATTACAAAACGATAAGAAAATGTAATTTATACTTAGTAGAATATTTTAAAGTGTTAAAGAAAAGTTTTTGAATTTAAATTATATTTAAATATGCAAAAAAATTAATTTTTGTCTACAGAAGATGTAGGTACTATAAAATACAAATTTTATTTCAAATTATCTCTTATAAATTATTTAATTTTAAATATATAGATAAAAGGTAGATAAATTTTAGTATAGTATATTAATATGGAAAATAAAGAAATTAATTTTCTTATCTCTACAGAATTTTTAATAATTTACGTATAAAGTATGCAGATATAGTTTTATTAAATGTAATAAAAATTTATTTAGTAATACAAAACAAATAGAGAGAGAGATATTGCATGTAAGTATTTAAAAATAGTAAATTTTTATGAATTTAATTATTTTTCCAAAAAAAAAATAATCTATTATTTTTAAGTACAATATACTTTATTGTTATTTCGTTTTAAAGAATCAATAAGATTGAAGTACATTGATGAAGAATAAAGAAAAGAAGTACAAAATAAATATTTCTTATATACTTACTTGGAATTTGATTTGATCGATTCAAACCTAATAATTTAGAGTATCGATATTAATGTCAATATATACGTAGAATAATTCGAATACCATTAAATATTATACGAATAGTTTATATGAAAGATATAAAACATTTTTTTACTAAAAACATTGTTATTAATATTGAATTAAAACAGGTTTAATTTATTAAATCAAATACACAAATTGTTAACAATGTTTAAGGAAAAATGCTCATACACTTGAATCTGAATATCAAATACTATTTTATCATACTAGTTTTGTTAAACATTATAATTATAAATTATTAGGCATTAAATTTTTAAATTTGAATTTAAGTGTTTTTTTTTGTGTATTTCAATAATAAAATATTGTAATTGTGCCTAATATTTAAATATGTGTAAGTAATAACACAAAAAAAAATATCAAAAGTAAGTTTATTACCTTTAAATAAAACTTAAATTAAAAATAATTGTTCAAAGTGATATGGAAAATTTGCATACTTTTAGGGGGAAACAAATTGTTTTTACATATTTCGGTAATTAATTTTGAAAATTGGAGGTATCAGAGTATTAATTAATAAAGGACACTTTAATAACTTTGAAGAACAAAATTTTTTTTAATCAATATTATTTTTAAGATAAAACTATTTTACGAATGGTAAATTTATTAAGTATCGATTAAATGGGGCTTTTTACAATTGATATTATTCTTCGTTTTGTCAAAGCTTATTTTTTCTTTTAAAATTAGTTAAATCGTTAAAGACAAAGTATATGATTTTAACAATTTTTGTTCTTTCATTGTAGGTTAAAGTTTATCTTAAGATGGATGCTATCGTAGAATGAAATTTCAATATTCTCATTGACTTTTAAGTTTTTACGTTCAAAGAAAATTGATTTCATTCATATTGCTTTCAAAAAATTTTTAATAATTTTTATTTTATTAATATTTTTATACAGAATGATTCAGGAATACCTAGAGAAACAATTTTATAGACTTTTGTAATACGATTTTAACCTTCTGGGTCAAAAATGGGTAAAATTTTTGTTATGGACTAGGTGACAAGTCTCAAGGATTTTCAAGTTACAGGGATTTTAACGAATTTGCACGAAATTTCTACTTGCCCAAGCTTTTTTTTTTCTTGTAACATCCCTTCCAGAAAAAATTAAAGTATCATACAAAAATTTTTGAAAGGGCTAGTAAAGGGCTAATCAATATATGTTCCTTTAAAAATTTTAAAATTCAAGTACATTTTAATGAGACTATTGTGATCAAAATTTAATAATAATCGATTTTTACAGCACTTAAAATTAATGAAAGTCCAAAATAGGGATAATTTTTGGAGTTTCTATATTTTATTAGGGCCTTTAAAGTTTTCGATCTTTTTCGATGGGGAAATTATAAGTATTAAATCTTTGGCAAGTAGAAATTTCATGAAAATTCTTTGAGATTCCTGTATCAACGGAAACCGTTTAATTTGACGATTAATTTCGAACAAAAATTCTGCCTATTTTTGATGCTCTAATCAAAACAATGATATATAATATTGCACTCTTTACTGAATCACACCGTATAAAGAAATTTCTAGTATCTATTCTAAAATTCTAGAATTATATAAGTACGTACAACAAAATAAATAAATATGTTATTTTGAATTCTAGGAAATATCAATTGCATTTTTGAGATCAAAAAGTTTTCCTATAAAATTTCTTTCAAAATAAGTTTCTTTAATAAAAATACATACCTTTTTGATTTTAATATGAGAATTTTATCTAAGATTAGGAAAATCTCCTGTGCTAAACACTACACTTATATAGTTTTTATTTGAGGAGTGCAACTTTAAAATTTTATAGTCCAGATTTTTATTCCATGCAAAGAGGAAAAGGAATTTTTAAATAATAAAATTTTCTTGCATTTACAAAGTTACTATTTTTTTCTTAATTTAAATTTTTAATTTAAATTTTGAAAAACTTGCTAAAAGAAAATCACTAAATTAATTTATATAAAGAAAAATCTTTTTCTCTCTATTAATCCTTACCTAAATATTGTAGATATGGATACGTAAATTAAAATAAATGTATACTAGAAATGAGTAAAATGTTGACGACGATCTTTAGAGTTTCTTTAAATAATTTAAGATAATTGTATTGGAATATTTTTGCACTGTCGAATTAATTGTTAAAATATTTTTTAGATTATGTTTAGAAAAAATTGAAAATTCTTTAAAATTTTGGTACCCCATTAGCAGCATTTAATATTGAATTTATTACTTTAGTTCTTAAATCAATGAATGTAGATTCTAACATTACAAATATTAAAAATACTTGCATTATTCGCTCAAAAGAAATAGAGAACTAATTTTAAATATCAAAGACTTAGTAGCAAATTCATTATACCAAAAAGTAAAAACGAGCAAAGTAAAAAATTTGATACAAAGTAAAAAAGAAATTATGAAGAAAAATATTTTATTTTTTAAAGATTCAAGTAGTTCCACATGAGAAAATTTTATTTGTTCTTGTATTTCTTTTACATTACTATATACGTATAAAAGCACTCAAAGGTTATAAGGATATTATTTATGTATATGTATATAGTTTTTATTTGTAAAACTATTTTGTATTATATTGTTAAGTCTTTTGTTGTCGGAAATTTACAAATAACTTTTAAGTAAGCACATAGTACATCCGAATTTCAATGTTATTTAACGTTGAAAACGAAATTTTTAAAATATTTTTTGCACTCTAGAATTTTTTTTTAAGAGTAGAATTTAACAATATTAATGAACAGAATGTAAAATTTGTCATTGAAGTAAATACAACCATGTATTTTATGTTCGGGAATCAGAAATTACGATATTCAATTAATTTTACAGTTTATTTATGAGTAGAAGCTGGGCTTCATTGCTAAGTTTGAGATGAATATATTTTTTCTCAAAGCATTTGAATTTTTATATAATAAGCCAAATTAAATTTGTTAATCAATATTTTGAAAAAAATTTCGGATTTTGAACCAATTAAAAAATATACCTTCATGAGTCTCTCAAAGATGTGAAGCAGGACAAAAGTTAAAACTAGTTAGAAAGAGAAAATTTCGAGTAAGAATCATATAACTTACATATGAGAATACAAAAATTTTAGTAATTTTTGAGCTCTCTACTCTTATTGTGCCGTGCTAAATTTTGTTGCATATTTTTGATATTAAAATAATATGGTGATATTTTATGCAACTCTAGGATAATAGAAAAATGTAATATTGCTGTTCAGCATCGTGTAACACTTTATGAACCTCTTTTCGGATGGAAAAAAAAAACTGTATTTAACAAAAGGTAGACAATATTAAGAATACAATTGCATTTTGTTCTCGTCATACGTGTATTCCTTTAAAAAAAATTTTTTTCCCCCAAAATGTGTACATCTACTTTTTTTTCACAATTCTTGTGTTTTAAATTGAATTTCAATTTTTTTTTTTTTATTCTGTGATTTTTCTTTTGCTTTTGAATACTTACTGATGATCCTTTACGTTCTGAACAACCGCCCAAACATGTTGTAGATTTATGATGTACTGGACGATATGTGACACCACGTAAAGCGTCAGTACTACTATCCTTTGTTGAATCCGGTGTGCCAGCCTCCTCATCGTACTAATTATATATATATATATATATAAAAGCATGCGTTTTGTTTTTTTTTTTTTTGATATTTTTGTTTAGTAAATTTTAAAAAGCAAAAAAGATTTATAAAGTAAATTTTTTTTTTTTTTTGTAAAAGAATGAAAGAAATAAAATAATTTTAATAAGAATGAGATATTCGTAATTAAATTTTGAAAAATATTAAGAAAATTAAAAAAAAATAAAAAAGGCAAAAAAGAAACGATGAAAATTTTTTTTTTAATGTTTTTTTTTTCCTTTTAAGGAAATGATTTTGGGGGTGGGGGGCACAAATAAGGCATGTATTGAAATTTTGAAAAATTTGAATTTTTGTTTAAGGTTTTAGTTAAAAAAAATGACAAACTGTTATATAATTACAAAACAAAACAAAAGAAGAAAATTATAATTAAAAAATTAGACGGAATTCAAAAATGATTTCAAAAAAATTGTTTTTTTTTTTTATAGAATTTATTTAATAATTTTAATATATTTTTTTTAATTTTAAAAGATTTTTGTTTAAAAACTCAAATGGGAATCAAGTATGTGAATGTAGACTTTTAATCCAATTTTTTCAACAAAAACAAAAATAAACAAACGAGAATGTTTGGAATTTAATTTTCTTTTTTTTTGTTGCTGTTTTTTCCATATGGTTTTTTTTTTTTTAAAGTTATTAAATTATGTACAAGTATGTGGTGCATTGATGTGGTGCACAGGGTATTTTAATTACATTTGAGAATATTTTTATTTACATAAAATACAAAATAATAATTTAAAATTATAAAAAAAAAATTATATTTAATAATTTTGATAGAAAAAAGAAAAATGAAAAATAAAAAAAAAAAATTTTAATTTTAAAATACAAGACAAAAAAAGCATGCATTTTTGAATAATAATTATTTACAAATTTAATTTATATATACATACATATATTATGTATTTATATCTAATAATAAATCGAAGTTAATTTTCCATATAAAATTAAGTGTTCACACATACTTCAGGTTTATTTCAATAAATACGAAAAAAATGTTAATTTTTTATCATATTTTTAATAATAAAAGTGTAAGAAGAGAAACAAAATAATGAAATTTGAGAATACCGTTGAGGTAAAAAAATTATAAAGGTTGCCGTTATACATCGATTGTAGTATTTGTACTGCTATATGCGTTAAGCCCATAATTATTTTCAATTGAAAATTTTTGTTGGTTTTAAAAGAAAATTTTTTTAACTTTTCAATTATTTTGAAAATAATTTTCCCAATAGAGAGAACGAAAAATTATTGTGAATAGAAAATTCAAGTTTAATAAATATTTCATGAATTGTTTAACATTAAGGTATCCGGCCTTAATTTTTACATTATTTTTCCATTATTCATTTAACAATCTCCATAGTTTTAATTTATAACAAGAAGACTAAAATTAAAATTCTAAATTCTAATATGAATTTAATGAAGAATTTAAATTCAATCATTAAATTAAAAAGTTATTTAATATTCAATGTTGAAAAAAGCTTTTTGGAAAAAAATATGTTATTTACTTGTGCCGCTATAAAGAATTTTTGATAATTTTTTAAACTTCTATAACTAAGCTACTTGAATGATTGTCCAGAAAGGAAGATAGGTTACCGGTTGGAGTTAAGTTATGATTTTTCAGATATACAGACGCAACAACTCAGTTTTGATTTTACTGCTGCCGAAACTATTTTGTATTTAAAGTAAAATAATTTCGGATTTAGAGGATTTATTAGAGAAAGTTTCTTTTAAATTTTGTTGTTACTTCAATAAAGAATTTAAATTTATATTTCAGTGAACTGTATAAAAAAAAGTTATGGAACAGAAAGAAAGTGTAAAACACTTATGATAATCTTAGAACTTTTACAGCTAAAAAGATTTTTTTTATGCTATTGTCAAATTTGTAGATTTTCAGGTTGTGTCCTTTCTGTTGTCGAAGTTATTTAAATTCTAAGTTAGAAATTCGATCTCATATTGCATTCATTCGAAAACGCCCTTGCATTCATTTATAATATCAATTCATATTTTAATTAATTGTTTCGTTTCTTGAATCCGTTTTACGTACAACCATATATGCAGGCACTTAAAAATTTATAAGAATGAAACACTTAATTTTTATTTTTTAAATTTTTTATAAATACCATTATTAAAGCCTTAATTATACAATTATTTCTACAATCTATTTAATATAGAAACAAAAATGGCTACAATATTATTAATAAATAATATTAATAGAAATAAAAAAGTGTATTAAAAAGTGCTACTAAAAGAGAAAAATAATTATTAAATAAAAATTTTTAAAATAGCATAACACTCATGCGTAGAGAAAAAATTTGTAAAATTTGTAATTTTATTAACGCGTTGTAGTTTGTATTGCAGTAAAAGGAAGTATAAAAATATAGAAAATAATTACATAAATTTTTTATTTCTTTTTCCATATAGTATATAAAACATGCAGGACATTATATTCACACAAATTTTAATGCATATTCAAGTAAAATTCAAAACTTATGCTCATTATTTCAAGTATATATGCAAAGGCATTTCAAATATAAGAAAATGAAAGCAAGCTGAATATGAAATAAAAAATAGAAAAAAATATAGAAAGATATTTGAAGTATAATTTATTATATAGATGCATATATATTTCGATTGAGAAAGCTGACATTTCCATTTTATAAAAATTTTCATTTTTAAATTTTTTATTTCGAAAAAACAAAAAATCCTTTATTAATGAGGCAGTCATTATAATCCGCAAATATATTTTAGATTGCTAAACAATAATTGTGTAACAAAGTTTTGCATTTTTTTTTTTTGTTTTTTTTTTTTTTTTTTAGATATTTATATATATTTACACACACACACATTCATTACGAGCAATTCTTTTCCTATATTTTTGTTAAAGCTTTTCATATAGTATAAAATTTATATTAGTAGTTATTTATTATGAATAAATTAAATAATATTGTGCATATATTCATATAGATTTAAAGAGGCTGAGAGAAAATATTTCTGCAATATATATAGGCAACATTAAAATGGCAAGATTTCTTTAGAATTTTAAAAGATCATTTTAAATATAGGCGACAAATACATAAGATACGTGTATAATAGATTTTTATAGTTTTATTTTTGTTCAATAATATATATTATATATTATTATGTAATATATCAAGTAATAATTTTATATAAATAAATAATTTAATTCAGCTTTTTATATAATATAATATTGTTGGCATTTAATTGACATTTTGTGGTAGGTTTAACAATAATAAGTACGCTTCAACATTTCAAAATAAAATTTAAAAATTTTAAGAATTTCCAAAAAAAAAAAAAAAACAAGTTTTCAATATTTTTCGTATACCCTTTGATTTTTTATTTTGTTGTTTGTTTTTTTCTTTGCATTAGTTTTTACAGTTTTCAGATGTGACGTCATACAAAACATAAACCATTTTTATCACAATATATATAGCAATAAGCTTCTGCTGCTTTTTTTTTTTAAATAACAAAAACTTTTAAAAATAAATAAAAAAAAATCACACATTTTGTTTAATAAAAAAAAATATATGTAAAAATAAAAAATAATTTACAACATTTTTCAATAAAATTTAATCATTAATTTATTAGTGAATGAAATATATAACAGTAAACACTTTTCTTATACGATAACTCTAAAAACAAAACAAAAATTAATAAAATCACAAAAAATTTTTAATCATAAAAATTAAAATTAATAAAAATTATAAATATTAAAAAAAAAAATTAAAGTGGGAGGATGTCTATTTTATTTTATTGCCAATTTACTTTTATATATACGAGTAGATATACTTTATGTGTATAACAAAATAATTTTAACTATAATATAAATAATAACTATATATCATGTAATATAATTTACAATATTGATTAGAAATGTCAGAATCATGGCTATAATAACACGAAAATAAATCGTATCTACAAATTAACACAAATTTGAAATTAGCATAAATTTTTTATATATTTTAATATTGGTCAAATTTAGTATATAGTCTATTTTCTATGTACGTACTATAGAACAACTTAAATTTCTTTCACATTTTTTAAAATTATCAATTTTTTAAAAGTATATTTCGGTGTGCGTCAATAAATACGATGTATAAATCGGCTTTGTATTTCATTAATCTGTTATACTTTGATGCTATACATATATAAGCAGTGCTGGCAAATAGATTAGCTCAAATATCTTAATTCTTTTTTTTAAATTAAATCTTCATTTTGAAGATTCGACAAAAAAAAATTTCACCAACCCTTCGAGATCTTCAATTGATGTTTAAATTGAAAAAAGTAGGGAAGTTGAAATATCACGATTACAATTCGAAATAAATCGGACACCAAAGAGAAAAAATAATAACATGCTCAATGACATATTCAAATATAGAATTAACCGGCAAGCTGTAGCGAAGAAGAATGTATTAAATTGATTTTTTGGTAAAAATATTTTTTTTTTTGAAAGATATGGAAAAAAGTGTAAGTCGCTTTAAAAAACCTTAATATTAAAGATAGAACGTCACTGTTCGTATACTGCTGTATATATGTAAGTCAAATGTTTAAGTACCACTGTACATATACACACCGTTTAGACCTAATAGTACACCCAAATATTTGGAAATTTTAGTACATTTTATTTTAAAATGAATTTGAAATTAAATTTTATTGATATACGGCAAAAACAAAAAAAAAATTATTCAAATAGCCTCAAATATTATGTAGATAATATGCTGGGAATATTATTGAAAAATATCGAAAGTCATTCAAATTAATTTAAAAACTCAATTGAAAATTGTTCTTTATTTTAAAATTTAAAGTATTTTTTGAATAAAACAACAAAAACGAGTATAGTGAAGTGAGTTTTCATTGAAATAATGCGTGGACGGATGAAAATAGTATACTCTTTATACGAGCCCTAATCTGCAAGCAAATAACCATATTTGCATTCACATGACAA